CGGCACGGCGCAGCTGGGACAAGTAACACAACACCTACAAGTTCCCCCGTGTCGCGTGCCCGGGCACGGGCGTGCGCGTGCGTGCAGCACAGCTGGGACAAGTTAGAATGGGGGGGGGGTCGCGCTTTAGTAAAAGACCATTACTGCAATACAAAAATCTGGTCGACTCTCTCTTCCCCTCTCTTTGTCCTCCCTAGCCGCCCCAGCTCTCCTCCACCCCATGACATGTTACAGGCAATAAATTATCTATGATCTACGAAACGCAGACTTAGGACCAGAAAACGATTGGCGTTATGGCTCAAAATACTCACAGAAGGCTGAGAATTACTCCAAGCAGAAGCAGTAGGCTCTACAGCTATCACAATCTGCAATAAAAGCAATAAAAGCTTCGTTATGTGATGTTAGGCTCATTGGAATGGTTAGAACGTTTTGGTACAGTCACATAATATAAAAGCTTTCACCGGCTACTTACAGTTCGACCAAAAGTTTCCTGCTTCCAGCTCTCCAGCTTTTCAAAAAACTTCAGCTCCCAGCCGAACTCGTTGTCGTCAAAAAGCCGTTTAGCATGGGCAGGGGTGATGAGGCGCAGCGCCGCGACATCCGTTATCTTCCGGTCTGGAAACGAAAATACTATTGTAACAAAATGTCATGAGACACTCGACTCAAAACTCTCCAGAAAAACGCGATAATATCTCTGCATATTCCTGGTCAAGTAAATGACAAATATGTTTTAAAAACATACAATTGAATGATTTTACAACTGTTGGGCGTACCAGTGCACGGGCGTCAACGCGAGTGACGGACAGTGTGACGTGTGCGAGAGAGGTTACGGCTGGCGAGACGGAGTGAGTGCGACAGCGAGCCACCAGGGCACCCGCCAGCAGCCGGCGTGAGAGCGGCTCGCACATAACCTCAAAGTCTCGCTGTCAGACGAATCTCTCATGGGCAATATTAGGCAATCAAATGTACTCACCAACAAATCTAGGGAGAAGCTCGGCGAGCCCCCATGAATTCAGAAGCTCCTCCAGCTCACTTTCTTCAGCTCCGACGATGGTATCCATGATGCACTCGAGCTGCGATACGTACTCCACGCCTGCGTCTCGCGACTGACGGCTGTGCTGTGTCGTCTGCACTGGACCGGACCGGATATGGGTGGTGTGCGAAAAGGTGACGCCGCCACCATTCGTTGTTTCCGCGCGATATTTCATACCTTTAACGGGCACAGTACTTACACCGTTTACGCGTGTAGTAGTAATTGTATTGTTGATAATTGTTCTAGTTGGATTTCTATTATCTAGAAGTCTTTGTAACAGGCGTGTTTATTTTCGTCCGCAAGGGCAAAATTTTATCGTTGTGATTAAATTTTGTTAACACAACTTTCAAACTGCCTTTGCATGGGAGAATAAAAGTTTAGTCAGCGTCTTATACCTTTGCGACGCAATTTTAATCAGAGCAACAAAATTTCCATCA